ATTTCATTATAGAGATCTTGTTGTTATTTGTAATTAAGTGCTGATTTGATAAGTAGAAATTTATTTTTGATTTGTAAGATTGTGGAGTTGTTGGATAGAAGTAAGTTTTCAGGGTATTGAGATTGGTAATTGTAAAGAAGAGAATTGAAATTAGATGAGGAGAAGTGGTTTTTAAGATATTGTATTTGTTTATATCTATAAAAGAAAGAGATTTTTTTTTAGTAGGTTTGTTCTGAATTTCTTTAATTGTATTAATTTTCTTAAAAAGGATATGTTTTATAGCTGCTTTAATTAGACCTTTGTAGATTTTGTTCTAGTATAAATTAAGTTGATTTTGATTAAATATTAGATTGTTTTTTGAGGAGATATGTTGTAAGTTTCGAGTTGTTTGTATTGCATAATCTTCAAGGATTTGTTTAGAGCAGTTTTTCCATAGAAAAAGTTTACAATTTTTTTGTTTTTGAGGCTTGGGTTTGTTTAGAAAATTAATAATTCAAGAGTAATAATATTATGGTCAGATTCGATTTGGTTGTTTGGAATTATATCTGTATATTCGATGTTGGTGATTAAGAGATTTGTCTAGATTTGGTTAATTTTACTCTAAGTATTAGAGTATTGAAAGGTAAAGCTTGATATGTTGGGGAAGAAAAAATGATAAATATTTTTAAATTGTTGACTTTGTAGATATTTAATAAGTTGAAGTTCAGAAATAAAGTTTTTTTTAGAAGGGAACAGTCTATTCTTGAATTGGAAACACCATTAAAGTCTCTTATAATTATAATTTTATAATTTAAATTTTGTATAAGCAGGATGATTTGTTCTTAGATTTCTTTGCGAAGTTATTTTTTCTTATAGCTAGAGATATAGATTTGAAGTAGGTGAATTAGTTGGTTTTTGAAATGTAGATCTAAACTAATAATATGGTCTTTATAGTTATAAGTACGTGCTATATATTTGGTAATTTGATGGTAGATAAAAATACCAACACAAGCCTGGTGTGGTTGTGTAAAAGAGCTCCAGAAACTGTTGAAGTTTGGAATTTGATTTTTAAAGAAGTTTTCTTCTTTATAAGAGAGATATGTTTCTGAGAGGCCTAAAATATCAAAGGAGTTATTGTTAAGTATCTCAGAAAGTGTGAGTTTTTTGTTTGATTGATGAAGACTATTAATATTTAAAGAAGCAATTTTGATGAGAATAAATAGATATTCAGATTGGAGAGAGAGAGAAGGGGTTGGTGTATCTGATATGAGAGGTTAAGAAGAAGAAGAGAGATTAGGAAAATAGTAGATTGAGTTAGATAGTGATATTGAAGAAAGAGGTTGGTTTGATTTAAGAGGAATATAACTAAACTGATAAAGTAAAGAGAAGAAAGGTAATATAAAGTAATTAGAGAGTGGAAATGGCTTATGTAGAAGATAGATATGTATTTCAATATAGTTATTATTGTAATTTTTGTTGTTTAGTATTGAGATTTTAATGAGATTTGTTGAGTAGTAGAAGAGAAAGTTATGTTTGATATATTGAAGAAAAGTAAAGATAGTTTGTAGGTGCTCTAGTAGTGGTAGTCTATAATAAAGGAGGAACTTGTTATAACAAGTAAGAGAGTCTATAGGATATAGTTCCTTAGTTAGTTGTATTATAGTTTTAGGTTGTAGATTGGGATCTGGAAGTAGTTCATTATCATAGTTTAAGTTTGTAGAAGGTTGGTTAGTTAGGTTTAATGAAATTGATGTTGTATGTAGTTTATAGTTTTTAAGATAATTAAGTTGAAAAAATATAGTTTATGAAGTGAAGAAGATACTGTAAAAAAAAGGTTAGAAGAAATAAATAATCGTATACATAATCAGAAGTTAGAAAATAGTTGTAAAGATGAGCAAATAGATTGTGTTTTGAAGTATTTGTTTGATCAGAGAGTGAAGTATTCACAATAATTAGAAAGAATAAGAATGTTGCATCAAGTAGAAAGTTTTGGCGAAATTGTTGGTAGTGAGGATATTGCAAAAAGTAGTTAGAATATGAATTTTATAATAATAGAAAAGAAGTAGTGTTTAAATACAAGAATAAGGAAAAGAAAGTTATATAGTTTGTTTTGTTTTGTATTAAGTTAGATTAGTTATTATATATATTCGAATTTTAATAAAGTTTAAAGAAAGAAATAAAGTTAAAGTTGTAAATTGGAAAGGAAAAAGGAGAAAAGAAGTATATTATAATTTTATATAAGCTACCTAAATAGATAAGTTGCTAATATATTATAGATAATAGAGTAAATAAAGAGATATATATTTTAAGTGAAATAATATTGATTAATATTTTGTAAAATTAAAAGAATGAATGAATGTTTGAGCAAGTAATAAAAGAATAGTTAGAGAATTTGAAAGAATAAAAAGTATAATAAATTGTGTTTGTTAGGAAATTTATTAATGCCTATCTCCTTAGAAGGGTGAGATGATTTGGTATTTGAGAGAGGATAAAACTTCTACAAAAATATTTACCATATGCCCAGCTCTTACAGCTATGCAAGAATCTAAAGTCTGCTTTGTGCATTGAGTCTGACCGTCATTACTTGATTCTTCTACATATGAATTCAGATTTTAATCTCATTCTATAAAAAAGAAAAAGTTATTTGTATTATAAGAAAAAAAATTTTTTTAAAAGAAAAAAGAATAGTATTTATAGTGTACTAGTTTATAGTTTCACTTAAACTAGCTTATCAGGTATTAATTTTAGAAAAAAGAATAGTATTAAAGCTAATTCTTATGTAGTTTTTTATCTTGATTTTCGCTTTAGTTAAATAAAGACTTTCACTTGGTGCTAATTATAAATAGACAAAAATATAAAGCAAGAATTTATATAAAGTACATGTAGTTTATTTTATAAAGACTAATACAAGAATTAGTCTGAGACCAGTTCTTGTATTGGTCTTCAGACTCTACCAGTTCTGGTTTAGAACCAGTCTGGAACTGGTCTTTGTAGGACCGATACAACTCTAGGTAAAATTAGATTATTGTAAAATCTAAAGCCTTAATTTAAAAATATAAACCCTCACAACTCTAACAAAACCTACTTATACTTTTTTATTATAAATTCTAACCCTAAATACTAGTATAGATTCAAAAAAAAGTCTAAAAAAATATATCTCAAAAAATTTTAAAAATTAGAATTTTATAATAATTCAGATTTTATAATCATCTACAATATTAATTTTAATTTAAATTAATTACTAATATTTTTTAATAATAGTAATTAGTTAAATTAATTGATTATAATTAATGTAATTAATTATAATTATAATTTTAATTTTTTTAATATTACAATATATAGTTGCCTTTTCTAAATCTAATCTTTTTTAATTTGAACTTTAATAAACTCTCTAAAATCTAAATTTAAAACTCTAGAACATTTATAAATTTTATTATTAAGTTTAGATTAGTATATAATACTTTTTAAAAATTGAACTTTTTAATTAATTTCATATTTAAAGAAAGATAATTTGAAATAGACAAGTTAACTGTATAAATAAAAATAAATAATTTTTAAAAACTAAAAATTAATTTTTTTAAAATAAATTAATCTTTTTAAAAATAGAATAAAGATAAAAATTAAAACTTAAAGTAAAGTATTATATAAAAAATTTAGCAAGAATTTTTTTTATTAAAGCTTAAAAAATAAACAAGAATTTAAAATATAAATATTTTTTAAAAAAATTTGAGTTTGTTTTTTTTTTAAGATAAGATTTTGGTCTTAATACTTTATTAAATTTTTTAACATATATTGCTCTATATAGTATTACTGTATGAACTATATAATTTAATTAATTATATGTGAAATATAGGGCTATATTTTAACTATCTATATCTAAGATTTACCTATACAGATATATTTAAGTATCTATAGTATTTTTAATTTATTCTTAATCTAATTCTATCAGAAATAATCACAAGATTAGCCTGATTTTAGGTTCTTGTATACCCATTTACAATTACCTTTTCATAGTTGCTAAAGCTTCTATTTGCAGTTATAACTAAGCTATTAAGTCTATTATTTAATATTTCAGATTTCTAATTCTGTAGTGTAGAATTTTAATAAATTTGTAGTTTCCTAATATTTGCTTATAATCTCAATAAACTGCTTTTGCTCTTGTAAAGGTTTACTATTCTTGGACTAAATACCCACTTCACTTTTTTTTTCACAAATCAAGTCTTTGATTTTACCAAACTTTCAAACCAGTTGATCTAATAGGGTTGATTTGCCTAGGCTTTAAATACTTTATAGTCTCTCTTTTCTTGATACACACTTCTAGAGCACATGTTCTTTTTTTTCAGTATAATTCTAAAGGCCAGATTGATAAACCCCTGAACCTACTGTATAAGGATCTTGTTGTCTAAGTTATCCAAGTTTTTAGTTAGTCTAATTCTGTTTTGTAATATTATTGTATTCTCACTACTTCTTAAACTTGGGTCTTGCCAAGCTAGTTTTGGTTCTTCTAGTTTTCTTTTGGTTTTATTTTGATTCTAGAAACTTATTATAAATTTGCACTGCCTAGACCAATTTGCATTCCTTTATATAACATAAAAGCTCTAGAATCTATTAGTATCTTAATGATAATAGTATGACTAAAGCTACAGATAATTAATCCAACTAATCAATAAAGATCTGTTACTATAATATAAAGAATTTTATTCAAAATATCACTAGTGGGATTTGAACTTCATATCTTTGATTAACATAACTTGGAGATGTAACAACTCCACCACTTTACTATATTATTATACTCTAATTTTTGAGTTATACAAAATTAATTTACTTATTATATTTAATTTTGAATTTTAATTGGCAAATTAACTACAAGTAATAATTATCTAAGATAAAACTTTAGATAATTCTAAGACAGTTAGGGCAAAAATAAGTAGATTTTTTGAAATCAAACTTGTCTAAATTTTAATTAAAATTAAAATTTAATTTTAACCAGAATTTAAACAAGTTTGCCTCAAAAAATTTACTTACTTTTGCTTTCTATCTACTTTAGAATTATCCGGGTTCTTCTAAGATATAAATTAGCAATTTTTTAAAATAAAACTAAACTTTTTTGAAAAAAGCTTTAGCATATTAAATAAGCATTATACTGTATATATGACTAGGCTAATGTGCAGCATTGTATGTTCAAAGTTTAATGTTTTTATTACACTAAAGTATTAAGTAAAAAGTGAATCAAAAAGCAACTACTAATACATCAAAAACGTCGATTCTATAATTAAAATTTTTTGATATAACACAAATAAAGTAATATGACGAATCAAAAACAGAACTTTTTAACGCATGAGGACAGACACCAAACTCAAAAGTTGCGTTTTTGATATTTAAAATATCAATGAATCAAAAACGTAATTTTTTATCACCTTACATAACATATAATGTATATCAAACATTACAGTATGTAATATTTTTTTGTCAAAATACTGAAATAACGCCAATTTTTTTTTTTTTTACCATTTTTGGACAGATTATATTTGCATATCAAACGGGATTATTGATTTGTGGAGAACTGACAAGCTCGTGATTTATGATAAAAAATTAAATTCGATCAAACTTTCAAATTAGTGCAGATCATAACCGGATTAGATATTTGAGATGTCGTTATTAAAAAAAAAAAAAGCCTCACATTGCTTCGTTCCCAATAATATGCTGCTAAAAAAAAACAGAATTTCAAGTTTTTAAATTTATATATAATTCACCAGATATCCACTAACATTCAACATTTGTTCGATGGTGTTTATTTACAAGTTACATACGCATGCTACTGCTCTTTTTAAAGGGCTGAGTTCGGTAAGTTATAAATTTAAAGCCAAGGCTAGAGAAGTAATGGTATATTTCTCGATACAAGCCCTGTTTTTTTTTTTAATTAGAATTTCGGGATGCCTTTCTCCAGAGGTTTCATCCTTCGCCAGGGGCTTCATCTTTTGTCGGGAGCTTCGCCTTTCGCAAATGGTTTCGCCTTTCGACGGGGGTCACAACTTTCGCCAGAGGTTTCGACTTTCGTTAGGAGGTTTCATATTTCGTCTTTCACCGGCTTTAGATTTCGTCTATCGCCATTTATGAAAATAGGCTCGCCTAACAACTATATTCGACCATCAATATTACCATATTTTGAAAAGATTTCGTTAAATGCTTTTAATAATTCCGTTCGCCTGAAGTCTGTATATAAATACAAGATGAAAAGTCATTCTGGTACCAAAAAAAGGTAAATTAGGATGTCATTGTGGCCACGGAACAAATAGCATAAATGAATAGCGCTACCTTATTTTCAGATCGTACCTATTTAAAAATAATATAAAAATTTTGGTGTAAACCAATAAATTAGGAGGAAAAAAAAAAAAAGAAAGAAACATACACCCCACAATCCCAATCCTAGGGTCGGTATAACAATAGCAACAAAAACGCTTTGAATGATTATTGTATGAATATTGTGAGCAGCGTCTCCGTACAAGAATACCAAATTAAGAATTTGGAAGCCCAACAAGAGGAAGAAATCCACTTTCGTTAGTAAAAGGAATACTAATATTAAAGATTAGATGGGAATTATAAAGTTCAGAATGATGAATAACTGGTAATCCTAAAAATTCGGAAATTCGGAATAGTTGATAATGAAAACGTACTAAGATATGTCCTGTACATAGCTAAATTACAAAAAATTAAAGTTAACATAGTAATAATTAGGAATAAAACATCTAAAATGTAGTTTACCTTGAGTATTAATGCCAGCACCAATCTTCTTATAGATATTCCATCCGAATTCGCCATATAATTTATAACCAAAGAATATTGATGCGGAAACGAAAAAAACCAGAAAAGCAAGTTGAACAAATTCAGCATATAATACAGTCATTGGTAATGAAATGCTAGTCGAATCATTAGGGAAATCAAGAGAAATTTGTGCATCGATACGACGTAGCCATTTGTAACTCTGATAGGTTTGTATAGACCCAAACAATAGCAAGCAAATATTTATAAGACCTATAGATATTATCTCTATGGTATTCTATAATGGAAGGTAAATAAATATAAATCATCGTAAGCTAGAAATAAAATAAATGATAAAATGATAAGAACTTACTTGAAAATATAACTTAAAAAAGGGATATAAAATAAATTGTCAGTTTTTCAATTTAAAACAACCTAAAAATACGACACATGGTAAATTTCTACATTATAAGGAAATAAATTACCGCTGAGAGACATAAAGCAGTGAGAAAAGCTTCAAACACCATAAACCAAATGTTTCCGTCTATAATCGATAGGTATTGAGCCAAATAATTTGAATAAGAATAATTCATGTAAATAAATTGGGGTGTATCTGGAGGAGTGCTCTTATATCGATTGTTAAGGTCGCCTAATGCTCTAGCACCATCCTCATTCATCCGTAGGATGACAGCCTCTATTATAATAGATACTATCATTTGGCATACAGCAAAACTTATGTAAAGGACGGTCCATCGAGTTTCATTTATGCGAGACCACTATATGTTTGAGTTTATGTAATGTTATATATACCTTCATATGGTATAAAGAGAAACAAGAATTCGAACATACCAGCTTTTTGCTTATCTTTACTAGTGTAGCACTCATGTTGAAAAAGTATATATTTTTTATAAAGGAACGAGAAACCTTCCAGAGGTCTTTATGTTAGAAAAGAAAGAAAGAAGAAGAAAAAAAAAAAAAATTTTTTAATATAAAGAAAGTTGATATTTGTAACTTGTTCCAAGTGATAATGGACGGAGGAAACAAGTCAAACAAGCCTCAGAAAGAAGAGGTAAAATTTTTAGGCAATAAAATAAAAAAAAAAAAAAAAAAAAAGAATAAAATTTATATAATTGAAGAGGAGAGTTACGTTGCAATTATCAAACGGTTAATAGTTACAGACATGCGGACCAAACGAGAGGATTATATTTATTAAAATATTTAATAAATTGTTTGACTTCCGGATATGGTTAGCCAAAACTATTATAAGTATCAGACTACATGTGAGACATGTGTAACAATGTGGGCATAAATATGCGTACTAAAAGATATAAAAAGATATATGTACACTAAAGTGTTTAAGGATCATCACAATAATCAAGTAACCAGATGAAAGATTATGTATTGTTTGTAAAAAAAGTGGACAAAGATCGTAATGCTAAAAGGCATAAGGTAGAAGTTTTTTCAACCGATTTCTTTGTGTCCTATGAGAATACGCAGCTTTTCCCAGACGAAGTAAACGTGCTCGTGGAACTCCTGTATTAAGATGCGCTTTACCTGATCTAGCACGTTTGAATTTTCCACGGCCTGTAACTCTCCACCTATTTCATTACGAAATCAGTAGAATTTTACTACTATTATCACCATAAGTTATGGGTTGTAAAAAATAACTAAATTTGCACGGGTTTACATGGCCGAAGGCCATGCCGTGCAAATTTAGTTATTTTATAACCCATATAATAACTATTTTATTGCACGGTGTCTACGTACAATCCCGTGCCAATAAGTAAATGAAAAAAGCACGGGTTGTTACATAAGACCCGTGAAATAAATGTTAAAATCGTGTCACTATCGAACTCATCAGACATGACCAGGATCAATCCGGTTTCTTCGTCTTGTGCAATTTCATCTATAAAAGATAAAATAATTATTAAACATGGTAATCTTAACATAACAATATTATCTAAAACATAATTATAAAATTTAAAAATTACCTAATTTGATTTATAGATATCAGTATCGTTTTGGCAAATAAAGTTTATAATTTTGGACGAATAATTGGTATTGAATAATTATGGTAATTCATCTCTCTATAAATATTTTTTAAGTTTATTTTCAAAATAAGCAAACCAATATTGTGGATATGTCTCTTTGATACATCTACATTCCAGCACATTTTCATTAATTCTACATAGCCAAATTTCATTAACAAAAGACACGAATTGATCATCACGATATATATTCCTCCATACGGAGAAAGACTGGTTGTCAGTTATCGCATTATTTCTATACAATAAGGTCACCAATATATCAAATGTTAGAGTTACGTCCCTTAAGAATATTTATAGGATGTAACGATAGACTAAGTTAGAATCGTGATTTTATAAGAGAATATTTAATATAATAAAAAATTTCAATTCGTAGTTACCAATTAAGAGTGATGTCTCATGTAAAAGTCGCACAGATTTTTTGTCATAGGTTCTAAAACAAACATAAAATTTTGAGATGTTGATTCTCTCATCAATCCATACGTAACATTTGACAAAGAGTTTTTCTCATCATGGGAATAAGGTGTTGATTGATTGACAAGAAATTTTTAGGATAAAAATCATTACAATATTGTGATGTTTCGAGTATGAAATAAAGATTTCCGGATTTTATTCATAGACATTCATTTAGTATAAGTTTTTATTAATGTAATAAAATTTACTATAGTAAATATATACTGATTTATAAAATAACATACCTCGCGAACCATCTTTATTTGGTTTACTTGAGTTCTCTGAATGTTTTAAGAATTCCATTGATGTCGCCAGTTCTCTCGAGTTGTTTTTTATCTGCATTCCATCTATCATACCTACAGCCAAGCCAGATCTTCGAATAAATACTTACACAACCACCTCTTGTTTTCTCTCAAAAGGTATTCACTCGACAATATGGGGTCTTTGCCTTGAAAATGACCTTACGGTACATGTTACCGTAAGGTCATTTTCAAGGCAAAGACCCCATATAATCAGGCCTTATTGTTATTGAAATTTTAATCAAATCATCAATTTCTTTAACGATTCCCAATTAAGTATCCTTGAATACAGACAGTATTCATACGAAAGTTAAAGCTTGACATGATCACGCACTCGAGTTACACCAATCTTTTTGGAAATGTTGTTCTCTTTAACTCATTTATCAATCCAGATTTTTAAAAGTCTTTTTTTATTTAAAAATTTATTAATTTGACCTGTGGTAATAACTTCAAATTTCAAAATTACAAAGATCTTAATAAATCTTTATCAAAACAATTATACATGGATTTATTACTATAAATATTATTTGTAATTAAAATGCATTAGTTTGCGTAAAATGTAAATTTTATTCCTAATTAATCTAATTAACCATCATTTATGCGTTATTTCTATAAATTTCATCATCAATATCTATTTGCATATTTTCTATTTTTATATTTTCATTATCATTATTCATTATGCTATCAATATTACATGAAGTTATGCACTCACAACTAATAAATTTGCTACTATAAATTGAATTCCTTTCAATATTATCGCTCTTTTCAAATTAGTGTGTCCATCAAATTTTATGCAGTACACACCACGTACAATCTGAAAATCTGAAAATCTAGAATCGGGAATCCAAAATATAAAATATTTTATGTAATAATGAACAAATTATCGTTAATAAAATATATTATGTAATTATTAACAAATTATCGTTATAAAATATATTATGTAATTAAAAAATTTTTTTCTTCTCAAGTTTGTCAATCTTAATGGCGGACGCTACAAATACAAAACTAAAATATCATCGTGGATCATGTTTTGGATGTCGGAAATGTTTATATTGTGCGAAAGATTTGCGCTACTATACTTGCAGCTGTAAAAAATCTTTGGTTCCAAATAAAAAAAATAGAACCGCTGAGGTTAAACATGCGTACACACGCCTTTTTGAACCTACTTGGGCGGCTGCAAAGTTTGAATATATTCATAAAATAGTTCAAGAACATAATTATCAAATAAATTTGAAGAAAACCTTCAATTTTTCTCTTTGCAGTCGATGCAATAATATTTTGCTAAAGTTGAATCCTACCAAAAATAAAAAAAAATCGGTGGATACAACAACAGATACGACAATGAACCTAACATTGGATACAGATATAATAATGGATCTGACAACGAATACGGCTACGGATATGATAACAGATACTTTGCCGGATATTATTGTAATTATATATATATATATATACTGTATATATATATTTATTAAAATATTATTTTTTTTAGGAAATAGCTCCATCACCTTCTCGATCTATGTCTTTTGTAACAAGCAATAGTGAAATGAGTAATGAAGATGATTCTGATGATTCTGAATGTGAAATAAGTTACAAATTGATTGTAAAAACGGCAGAGAAAACTTTACCGGCTAAGTGGTTTAAAGAAACCGTATCAGCTATCGACGAATTTCTTTTGTCACTTTATGATAAAATCACTACATTAGTTAAAGATAATACACTTATTCCAAATGATTATAGCATAACATTTAAAACACAAAGAGAAACTGGCGCTGGTACACAATTATCTGATGCGCAGGATTTTGTTAAATTCAAGGCCGAGTATGCAAAGTTATCTGCGAAAAATATTGATATCGGAATTTATGTAACAATTACACGGCCAATTTCTCAACCTAAACAAAAAAAGAAGGTAATAATTTAAAGTATATCGATATTATGCATATATTATACGTATATGTATATTATAATTGATCAATATAATTTACCGTAATTGTTAGGAACCAAATATGGACAACAATGATGATCTTTCAACAAATCTAAGCGATTATAAAAATAATAATAAAATTCCGCATATTTCATCTTTGTCTTCACATGATAAAGCGATTGCTAAGAATGTGTTGGAAATTCGAAATGAGCATCATTGTAATATACACAATCGTCCTTGTTTGCACAAAGAAAGTAACAAAGACTTACATGTGGAAATTACCTTTATGATGCTCTCAATTTGGGCATCGGATATAGTAAGTTTAAAATTTATTTTATTTTATAATAAATTGGATTATATTTTATAAATTCTAAAATATTTATAAATTTTTAGAACAAAGGATTATGTACAGTTAAAGATCCTCCGACGCATCCTCTCTTTTCTTATGCTAATACATCTAGAAGATCATATTCGTCTTCATTAAAATCATTGCCTACAACATTATCACCACCACCAGCAACGTTACCACCAGCAACGTTACCACCAGCAACGTTACCACCAGCAACGTTACCACCAGCAACGTTACCACCAGCAACAGCAACGTTACCACCAGCACCAGCAACGTTACCACCAGCAACGTTACCACCAGCAACGTTACTACCACCAACGTTACCACTAGCAATGTTACCACCACCAACGTTACCACTACCAACGTTACCACCACCACAAGCACCATTAGCTTCGTTACTACCACCACAAGCACCATCACAAGCGCCATTGGTTTCATTACCACAAGTTTTACAAATGCCATTAACATCATTATCGCAAGTATTACCACAAAATAATTGGGCTTTTGGACCCTTAGCATTTCATCCATTTTCTATGCCATTTAGTCCGTATCAAGCACAATCGCAGCTTATTTCTTTACAACCTCAAGAAAATCAATTTCGCTCAATTAAGTTACTAACCATGGCTGAATTTTTAAAAGAAATTGATGAAAAAGAAGGAACCAACGACTATTATCAGAAATTTTTAGATAAGTTTGAAAAGCAGAAAATTTCAATAAGTCATTTAGAAAATTTACCTAATGAAGAATTAAAGGAATGCGGGGTAAATATAGTTGGTGATCGACAAACCTTACGTGATTATGCTAAAAAATATAGAAATGCTTTTAGTTTTTGAACAAGCAAGAATGATCATATAATAGCGTATGTAGCAATAGTCTTGAGACTAATTCTTGCAATAGTATAAATTCATGTAATAATGCAATATAGCATGCAAAAATCAAACTCTAATTAGTTACTATACTTAATTAGAAATATAAAAATGTAACTAATTTGAACTCTCTTATTCACGCTTCTCTACTATAAAGTTATGAATATTTTGTTAATAGATATGTTAAAAGAAGTAAGTTAAAAAACTTAAAGTATTATATAGTGCTACCGTATACTACTTTATACTGATTTATATTTATATTTATAAATGCTTAATAAGTTTATAGA